ATACGAGCTCACCTGTGTTCATTGCTGCTCTTTTCACCATAGCTAGGAAATGTAATCATCCTAGATGATCATCAGCTGATGAATGGATACTGAAGATGTGGTAGATACACACAAAAAATTTTTGTTAGCTGTGAGGGAAAATCAAAATATAAAATTCACAGCTGAATGGCTAGAACTACCCCCCCCCCAATACTGAGTGATGTAGCCCAGACAAATGCTGCAAACTCTTTCATATATAGATGCTAGCTCTAAAACTATAGATTTGTGTGTTTACTCTGGAGTACCTACAGAAGCCAGGAATCTAGCATATGAGGGATGCCTTAAGGGAGGGAGGATAGTATAACACAGCTAATGTAAAAAGTAGAGGAGGAGGAGAATACTGTGATGGGAGTGTTTAAACACAGGGGTAGGAAATGAGGAAGATGATGAAAGGAGAGAGGATTAAACAAAACACACACACACACACACACACACACACACACACACACCAAAAGCTACTACTTTGTAAGCCAAAAAAGAGTTATAAAATATCCTGTATGGTGAGATATTACTTTCCTGTGTCAGGTGTGGGAGGCCTTAAAACAATACAGGTTATTGACATTCCTCTTGGTTGTTTAACAGAACTAGCAAATGGGACCCTTTGGAAAACACCACAAACCTTGGTTTCAAGGTATAGACTTATCAACTGGAACTGATCTGGAAGCTTCTTCTGGCTAGCTTTTGTAGTGCCAGAAGGTGTTATACAGAGTATCAGAGAAGTAGCAGCAATGGTCTTACTCAACTTTGAGCCCTATGAGCTACTAATACCAACCCTCCTGATAAACTGTGCTTACTGTGTAATAGTGGCACAACTGTTACGGGTCATCAACTTCTCCGATTGAATCTGAAGCCTGTTCCCCATAATGTAAACCTCATGAGGTTTTAGGCCTGAGGAAAAACTTACTACTACTGTTTACTTAAATTGACACGATGTCAAACTCTCTTGTCAAGACTCTCTCAGCCTCGATCAGAGAAGCTTCTGTTTGCAATAAACAGCAGTGAATGCAGAGATTGTAGCTGCTAAAAGTACTGAGAATAAGAAATGGTTGAGTGTTCAACCCTAGCCACAACATGTATACAAGCTTCTCTAAGGATCAGGGAGTATTTCAGAGGAGGAAGTAGGAAAAAGACGTGAAAGCAGTTAGAGAACTGGGACTGGGAAAGGCTATCCTCTGAGCAGGATACAGCCATTGCAATCTCATACAGTACCTGCCAATGGCTACTGTGCTGGGCCTCCACAAAACTGGGCCTGCCAACAGTCAACCCTTGATCAAGGAGGGAGTCACAGAGCCTTCCTGTCCCTGTTAAACTATTAGTTACTGATAGTTCTGGGGAGGGGCTCCTTGTCTTCAGTTATGTACCCACTGTGAGCCCAGCAGATTCAATGGATAGTTCTAAACTCATGACTACATAGATGGTCCTGGTAAAACTCAGGGGGTTCCCAACACAAAAGAAAAAGATGTGAGTGTGGAAAGAGAATAATAGGGGGGAAGATTAACAATGGGGACCGAGAGAAATCAGAATTCACCATATACGCATACAAAATTGTCAAAGAACAAGCTTAATAACAGTTAATTAAAAAAAACTGACTACTTAAGTTAATTGGGAAAAAAAAAAACCAAGCACCTCTATAGTCTTCCAGTTTAATTGTAAGAAAACCTTCAATATCCACTTCCTCTTAGTGAGTGACAGCACCATGGCATCAAGTTCTGAACTTCCCATTCTTTTCTTTTCTAGCTGGGCCTAGAGGCACAGACTTATAATCCTACCTATTCTAGAGGCTGGGGCAGAAGAATTTTGAGTTCATGACCTGCTGAGGTGCAGAATGAGCTCTTGACAGACTGGGCAACACAGTGAGACCTTGTCTCAAAATTCAAAGCACACTTTGCATCGATTAATAGTAGCTGGCTTGCCTACCATGAGGCCCTTGGTTCCATTCCCAGTGCTGGAAAAAACAAACAAACAAACCAAAACAAATAAATAAAATAAGAATGATAGTATTAGACATTATCATTTTAGTGCTTACTATGTTGGGAGGCATTGCTGATAAAGTATTTTAGAGTCTTCATTTCATGCATTTTTATACTATATTCCCCAATTCCTTATTCTCACATTCTTCTGATCCATGAGGTCACATCATCACCAATAGCATCATCCATCTACCATTTCATTTCACTTAATCTAAAGCAACAACCAATCATTCAAGAGTGCTGTTTCTAGTAGGTGGTGTTCACAGCACGTCCACTCCTGTCATGATCAAAGGAGCATTTAAGACAAGTACTTTCTCCTTCTCTTGGATTGCAAACAACCTCCTATGTAAATTACAGCAATAGTCACTTAGAATTTCACTAAACAGTTACCTGGTTTTAGTTACAACCTTGGTGCGTGAAATATCCGATTTACTCATTTCCAAGTGTTTTTGGCCCCATCCCTAGTGAGTTAATTGAAACCCTCAATTCTCCCGTCATTTCCAAATAATGAGACATCACCTGAAAATATTCATAGGAAATGCCTTTAGTTCTTTTTTCAAATACATCTCTATATTTTTCCATATCATCTTGGCATTTCTCTCTACAGCAGTAGTTTAGGAAATGTCTCTAGTTCTTTACATGATACAGCCCTTTGCCTTGTATTCCTTCCTTTGAAGTTCCATATAATTGCTCTTTATCCCTACCCTCATCCAAACTCCTCCAAGTACTGTTTTGTTTTCAATAGTGAGTCCTTCTTTTCTTTTCTTTTCTTTTCTTTTCTTTTCTTTTCTTCAGGATTGAAGAAATGGCTCAGGTGGGAAAGTGCTGTTTCACAAACATGACCTGAGCTTCATCCTCAGAAGCCCTGTAAAAATGCCAGACATGGTGACACACACTTGTAACACCAGTGCTTGGAAGGAAGAGACTAGAGCATCCCTGAGGCAGCTAGCCAGTCCATCTAGCCTAATTGGTGGCTTCCAGGCCAATGAGAAACCCTTTCACAAAGAAGTTCAAAGGCATTCCTTAGGATGTCACCAAAGTTGTCCTCTGACTGCCTTAAGCATATACCCATGGTCCCGCAAATATTGCACACATGCACAAAATAAAACATTACATTAATATCCCTTCCTTTTAGACATAAGGAAAGAAGATGTAGTGGTTTTCCCTGAACTATTTACTTGATTAAGTTTTCTCTGTCCTAAGATAAGGAAAGTAGGCATTTCTTGTCAGTTAAGATGTTTTGTTCCTCTTTTCCCTCACAGCCAGAGTTATTGAGTGATTACTCGGCAATAGAAGCTTGCACAGAAGCAGCTCGCATTCTAGTTACAGACTAATCTACTCTCTCCTCAACTTCTCTCTGTCCATCCAGCATGACTGTATCCATACCACCCACCGGCTTCATGGAATCCCAAATTGTCTTCTTTTGGTTGTTCCCCTTTGTCCCCTCTCTTCTCTGTCCCAGATCTCTTCAGTATATGATCTCACCCACAGCAATCATAATAATCTCCACTGGACCAAAGAAGCCGGTGTGTATGGTTCCAAGCTGAGCCTTTTGATTGGGAGCCAAACTCATCATGGCTGTCCTCTCTTGAGCTTTTGTGGCCCCACATCATCAGCCCATTCTCATCCCCTATCCCCCATCCCCCATCCCCTGAATGCTCTTCAGTACAGCCACCTGTATCATATACTACTGCACTCTGGTATCAAAAATGATTTTTTTTAAAAAAATTTGCCTTAAGCATCTAAGAAAAGGGTATAATTTTGTAAAATTAAGAAGAAAATTTCCTCAACTCATATGGCACTCTTACTGCCCATTTTGTTTTGTTTTCACACAGAAAGTCTTCAGAGAAGGCTCTGAGAAAAACTGGTTCTCTAATGAGTGGAAATACTCCTAGTGCATTTGGGAATGCTGGCTGCTTCCAGAGTGCAGGGGAATGAAAGCCCCATTAACTGGCAACTGTTGGATCTACGAGTACTAAGGGCTGAGTAGCTGAATTTTAAATTGAATTTCAACGCAATTTTTGGTTGAAAACTTTCAAATGAAAAGAAAAATCACACACTTGGGTGTAATTATATCTACTGGCTACTCACTCATGAGTGACTATACGTGCAGCAGAAACTAAAAAATGATTCTGCGTAATGAATTTCAGAACCTCTGTTCATATTTTTAAAAGTAAAAGGATGCAAAGGGATGAAATTAAGGTTACCTCCCTGGTATTTATTTTGATTTCCTGAGCAACTAAAATGTAAAAGGTGGGCAGTAACAGGAAAGGAAGGAATTTTAAAGGTAAACACTAAGGGGATGTTTGCTGCTCTGGAAGTAAAGTTCTGTGGTAGAGCACTTGCATAGCATTTGTAAAGACCTGAGTTCAATTCCCAGCACCAACAAATAAAAAGGGTGTTTACAGTATTTAGGGGTTACTATTCTCTTAGAAATGATTGACATCGGGAGGGATTAACAAAAATTACTCTTCAGATCTTATTAGAACTGAGAATGGACTGCCCTACTCAGCATCGCCATGCGTGAAGGTACAGCTGCTTAAATGGGGCAGCATGGAGTGGGAGGATTTCAAAGCAATACTATTTTGAGTGGGAGAGCCTAGATTCTCAAGCTTGCATGGCAATCGCTTTACCCACCGAATCGTCTCCTTAGCCCCCACAGTGAATTCTTTTTTAGGGCTGAGGGTTCAAGATAGGATTTCTCTGTACAGTCTGTCTGTCCTGGAACCCACTCTGTAGACCAGGTTGGCCTCAAACTCACAGAGGTCTTCCTGCCTCTGCCTCCCGAGTGCTGGGACCAAAGGCATGGGCTACCATAGCCTGGCTCAGTGAATTCTTTTTAACCTAAAGGACAAGTAGGTCTCTTACATTTTTCAAAATACCTTTTCCTATACAGTTGTTTTTTTTTTTTTTTTAATTTTATTTTGTATCTTATTAGCACTTCCTGGAGATTGAGTAAAAGAGATTCTAAAATATTTTTCAACCCTTAACCAGTTGTTCCTCAATTCATCCAACCATTGTTGATGAGTGACTATGGTTGAGCCACTGGATACCAAGTACAAAGGAGGAGTAAGCTGATGTTAAGAAAGAGAAGCAGTGACACAAGGGTGACTCACAGAATTTCAACACAGACTCCGGAAGAAAGAGAAGCCCGTGGATACCAGGAAGCGATGGAGCCAGTCCCTGAAACCTGCTAAGCCAAGAGCAACTGGATGACAGGTAGGGGTTCAGGAAGACATTGTTAAACTTTTCCCTCGGAAACCATGCCTGAGCCATACAGTCACCCAGCTGGTATCCACAGGGCCCGTGCTCACTAAAGTCAGTCCTGAGATGTGGGAAGGCAGCATGGTTAGGCTCCACTGAGCTCTGCTTTCCTAACCCAGGTTCTGATTCCCCTGTGTGTCTGTGGTACAATCTCACTCTCTACTTAAGATAAGCAACAATGAGTCTCTATTGCCATCAGAAAGTCTCACTAAACAAATACTAGCAAGTTTTGTGAGAAAGAGAAACAGAGGCTTACAGGCTAATTAATTTTAATCAATTAATTTTTTGCAGTGCTGGGATCGAATTCGGGCTTTGGGCTCAATGGGCACACATACTACTAATGAGCCCACCCTCAGCCTTATAGTGCTTGCCAATCCAAAGTCATTTTAAAAGGAGAGGAATTTAATGTCAGTCAACTCAATCTGTTTACTTAAGATGTTATTTTGTTTCTTTCTTAACATTTATTAGTAAAGACAATTAGTACTTTACCTACATCAGTGGTAGGCACCATGTTGATTTTATTCCAATTAAAGTTTTGGGAAAAACAGAGAGCCTCAGATTCTTGAACAGGGATAACTAGAAACATCACTCCCCTCTGTCTACACCAAATAAATAAATAAATAAACAAATAAATAAATAGTAAAAGAAAAGAAAAACCATACAAATGAACTATCCTTCCTCAACTTTAAAATGCATCTTAAATGTTCACATATTTCAATACTTCTAAAATATATTAATTTGTAGCTACAGGTTAATGTCAATAGTGGCAAATTTTTGCAAACTATATGAATCAGGGGCTCTTTTGGTTGGAAACATACATGCTCTACATCAGAGGAGACATTTTTCTTGTTATTCGAAGCCATCCCATTTGTGATGAGATGGTTTTTAAGAACTGTGTTATAGGCGCATGCCTTTAATCCCAGCACTCAGGAGACAGAGGCAGGCAGATCTCTGTGAGTTCGAGGCCAGCCTGGTCTCCAGAGCGAGTGCCAGGATAGGGTCCAAAGCTACACAGAGAAACCCTGTCTCGAAAAACCAAAAAAAAAAAAAAAAAAAAAAAAAAAAAAAAAAAAGCAAACAAACAAACAACCCCCCCCCCAAAATCAAAGAACTGTGTTATATTTTGGGGATTTGTGCTGCCACCTCATTCTGGGTGACTCTAAACAGCCTAGGGTCACAGTGGCTTCTCTTTAATTAGTATCTCATTGCTGGAGGGAGGGCTGCCCCTCAAGAGGAAAAGAAGGCAAAAAGAAATTAAACAAAGGTCTTCAAGGCAACTTGGTAGTTTGGTCAAGGAATGAAAAACTGCCTGGCTTTGTCACCAGAGAGAGGCCGGAAATAGTTTTGCTTCCTGCAAATTGAGAAGGCTGGAATTTTTTTGTGTGTTTGTTAATTCTGGCTTACTGTGTTAAGACTTTCCTTCAATCTGATAATCTGTGACTGAAAACACACACACTGGCTGTTTAGATGACAAAATGAGCCAGAGAAGACATGCAACCTTTTACATTCTTTCCACTGAAGACCCCCAAACATTAAGGTTTGATAGTAACCAAGTTATAGTAACTTTGAAAAACAAAGAAATACAATATGTAGCAAAATAGCAGTCAGCAATGCCTATCCAAAGATTTTTTTTAAAACCTATATTAAATATCTAAAATGGCTATGCATTTTAGGTGGTGAATGCCTTTAATCCCAGCAGTAGGCAGGCAGAGGCAGGCAGATCTCAGAGTTCCAGGCCAGCCTGGTCTACAGAATTCAGAGTTCTAGAACAACCAGGGCTACACAGAGAAACCCTCTCTTGAACCCCAGGCCCCAAAAAGTCTATGATGATACTATATATAAATATATGTGGAAAATCATCTAATCTTATAAAGCTAAGAAAAAATATATAACTGAAATATACTCACCCCACAATAAAGGAATGCATGAGAGACTAAAACTGAAAGGAAATAAAAATTGCCTGAAAATAAAGAATAACATTTTTAAATTTCAAAAAGCTTGACTACATACACATTGCATATATCTGAATGATTATGCACACACACATAGTGATAGAGAGCCTAATATGAATATAATTCCAAAAGGGGATTGCATCTTTAAAATGCAATTTTAAAACAGAGAGGGAAACTCTTAGCAATAAGAAGGCACTGTGTGTGAATATTGTTCTAGAACACTGCATCTTCAGCTAGCAATACTGACACTGCCTAATGGTGCCTATTGGGTACTATTTACAAGAACTCACCCCAGCAGGGCACCTGTGTCCAGTTTCCTGATCCTGTAGCACACCCACCCTACAGGACTGTGTTCCAGGCAAGTTCAAACTGTTAAGTTGAATTTCACTCTTGTCTGGAAGTAATGTTTACTCAATTGAATGCAGCTGTGAGCAGAGACTACCGTTCCAAGAAACATTTCTATGAGAACACCATCTTAAGAAATGCAAATTTGCTCCCATTATTTCAAGTCTGTACAACTAGTCTCTCTTAGTCAAATTGGATTTTTAGACATATTCAAGAGAAAACATGCAGGGTACTTCTGAGTTGGGCAGCACGACTTGTGTGCTCTTGTCACCTATATATTTTAATAACCATCTCACCAGCTTGTTCATAACAAATATAGTGCTTTTGTTTTGGGTTTTTGTTTTGTTTTGTTTTAAAAATAAATCAAAGTTATACTTAAACTCAGCTCTTTCTAAATGTCATTCTGTAGTACAACTCAGTTTCCTCTCTCTGTATTCACAGAAACGTAGTCTGGCAAGTAACAGGCGATCTCCACAGAGGAAATGCTGCCAGCTCATAACACCGGATGTAATTAAGACCACAAGAGACACACACTTGGTTATAAATGCTGAACTTAGAGGTACTGGAAAGAAAAAAGTCTAACTTTTGATTGGGTAGACTAACTGTTTTAGTCCATCACATACTTCCAAACAAAAGCTCTGGAAATCATGTGGGTAATCCAAGGTTCTACTTTCTGGAGAGTTAAAAACAAACAGCAACCCCCGCTGTGGATTCTTACCACCCCTGGCCATTTCCGTGTCTCTGAGGCCAGGGGAACAGAGGGATGTGGCTGTCAACCTGTCTGGGGTGCAGGATAAGCTGGATCAGCTAACACAAATAGTTGGGAGTGCTATTTGGTTAGAAAGTCTTTTCCAGTAGCAGGACTGGACCAGGTCTGTCCACACAGGGGCAGGTAATACAGTAAGTAAGCTAACGGGCATCATTAGCCAACTTGAGCAGTGGGATGGGCAAGGTTAATCTGCACCTCATGGAGAATGGTTCTCCCGTTCCCACCCTTGGCACCAGGTTGTCTTTTGTGCAGACTGATGGTGATAGTTATGAGTATTACTTCTCTATTGGCTCTGAAAAAAACAAATTCAAGCTTTGTTTTTAAATATGAAAGCATCAGGCTTTGGCACCTGTATTTGTTTAAGTCTGGCTACTGGTATGCTGCGAGCTTCGCATTCAGTCAGTACCTATTGCTCTCCAGCTGAAGCCTTACACTTTTAATACAGCCATCTACTAAAAAGAAACAAAATAAAAAAACCCAAAAATTGAAAAAAAACCCAAACCCAAATCTTCAGAGAAAAATTAAAATTCAGCTTATTTAAAATCAGACACCAGAATAGTTTCATTTTTGTTAAAACATTTTAATTTGAGAGCATGAGCTAAAAGGAGTAGCTAGCAGTTTTTATTATTTAAAAGTTAACAGGAAGTCTCCTTTTCTTTAGAGATATATGATTAATATCGCTTAGGAAGCTGAGCATTTGTTATAAGAGATTAAAAACCTTCTGCAACACACAGATGGTGGGCACTGTGGTAAGAACCATGCATTTCTGAAACTATGTTTTGTTTTATGTTAGTCAGCCATCTTACTAATTCAAAAAGGCTTTGGAAAAAAAAATACAAGAAAAATTTTTGCCACTAGAGGGGGTTCAAAATTGCCTTTGCAGCAAAAACAGCATAACAGTGAAGTTAACATCTGGAGCAACATCAAGTATGACTACAGTACACTTCTTTTTCATTACTCAGTGGGGATAAGTTAAAAATAAGGTTTTGGTGAGGGGAAACCAGAAAACCCACAGTAAGTATGTGACAGTTATATGTGCCACTTAACAGAAAATTCCTAATCTCTGAAAGTGCTATAAACTAAGTTTGCTTCTAATTGCTTCTTCGTTGGGAATGGAATCTTTTAGTTTCTCAAACATTCCTGTGTTTTGTTTTTGAGACAGAGTCTCATATTGCCCAGTTTGGCCTCAACTTTGCTATGTAGGTCAGGATAACTTTGAACTTTTGATCCTTTTGTCTTAACCTCCTAGTGCTAGACTAGCAGATATGTGTCATATCATTAAGTTTTGACACTCTTTGGTGTTAGGCTCAAGCTCAATGCTTCCTGTGTGCAGGCAGACACTCTCAACTGCATGGCATCCGTGCCCTCAAACTTTAACAATGCTGCAGGGGCATCACCATTGAGTACTCTCAGCTATAGGCAGTTTAGGGAAGTCTACCCTAGTCTCCTATCTACTTAGAGCCCACATAGAGTGGTGTCTTGCAAAATGAGAAACCACATAGAGAACCAAGGTTATCCAGCCATAGCTGGACAGCTCAAGGAAGTGTGAGACCACTGTGGGCCTTCCACCCCTAACTGGGTTTCCAACTGCATCCACTTGCACCAGTGACCTAGCTAAAGTCACATGGAACACCACGCTAATTCAATCCTACTAAAAGAATCATACAAAATAGTAGCTCATTGTTTTGTTTGTGGTAGCATGATAGTCAGCAGAAGATAATAAAAATATTACTGAACATATTTGTATGATGTCTGTTTTTATTTTTAATTTGCACTATTTGTTTCCTTGTGTTGCGGTGAGAGCATGGTATGCTTAAGACAGTCAGAGAACAATTTACAAGAGACAGCTTGCTCCTTCTACCTTGAGGGTCCCAGTGATGGATCACAGGGTATTTAGCTTGGCAGCATGCACCTTTACTGCTGAGCCTTCTCACAGGCCCATGTTCAGTATCTTTTATTTATTTATGATTGGTTTTTCAAGACAGGGTTTCTCTGTGTAGCTTTGGAGCCTTTCCTTGAACTCACTCTTTAGGCAAGGCTGGCATCGAACTCATGGAGATCCACCTCCCAAGTACTAGAACAAAAGTCATGCACTACAGACTGCCGGGCCATGTTCGATGTATATATCTTTTTTTTTTTTTTTTTTTTTTTTGGGTTTTTTAAGAGACAGGTTTTCTCTGTGTAGCTTTGGCCCCTCCCCTGGCCCTCGCTCTGGAGCTCCGCCTGCCTCTGCCTCCTGAGTGCTGGGATTAAAGGCGTGCGCCACCAACGCCCAGATCATGTTCGATATTTTTAAAAGCCTTTTCACACCCATTATCTCCCCCAGTTATGTCACACAGAAGGAACCAGGTCATAGTTAAATTCCCTATTTAGCTAGGTGGTGGTGGCACACGCCTTTATTCCCAGCACTTGGGGAAGGCAGAGGAAGGAGGATCTTTGTGAATTCGAGGCCAGCTTGGTCTACAGAGTGAGTTTCAGGATAGCAAGGGCTACACACAAAAAAAGGCTGTCTCAAAAAGCAAAACGAAACAGAACAACAACAACAAAAATTAAACAGCTCTTTTAAACTGAATACCTTGTTCCTCATTGTGTATTTGGTAACTAGTATTATGACTGTCAAATAATCACTTATTGACTAGAAACTATTCTCTTTAGTTTTGTTTTCAATTAAAACTGACCCTCAGAATAACTGTATTAATTTCTGCTTATCCTGTGGATTAAGAAGGAAAATCGCCTTTCTGGACCTGAGACTTTGATCCTATGTACACCTCTAGTTTTGTCAGTGCTTAATAAATGGTAATCTAAAAGTTCCATGTACTGAGCTGGGTGGTGGCAGCTCATGCCTGTAATCCCAGCACTCCGGAGGCAGAGGCAGGTGGATCTCTGTGAGTTTCAGGACAGCCTGGTCTACAAAGTGAGTTCCAGGAGAGTTACACAGAGAAACCTTGTCTCAAACAAACAAACAAACAAACAAACAAACACCAAAAAACAAAAACAAAAATGAAAAAAAGTTCCATGTACTAAGCACTGGCATTTCAAGCACTATTAGGAACTAGAGTTTTGAAACAACCTATTAAAGTCCATTTCTTGCTTACGTTTCATTGTAGTCACAAGGTTTTCAACTCTCCTTTTTCGCTGAGTTCCAGTTAATCAAAACCAATGACTGGCACCAAGTGTGTCCCAACCTTTAGTCCTTTCCCTTTCTTCTCCTAGGTTACCTAGGAGACTTCAGGTGATTGACATGGGGTGGGCATACAGCTCCAGCAAGGAAAAGATACTGAGATTTCCGAATGGCTAGCTGAGTTCTCTTGGGGAGGAATTGTGTATGGTGAGTAGAATGGCCTCTTGGAATTCAAAAGCAATTTTCTCCATCTTGACAATACACAACAGTGAACTGAGGGAAGTAAATGCTAGACCAGATTTTCATAATAAACTAGGTGGTTTATCTCCAAGACACAACAGATCCAAGGTGAAAACCTTGAATCCAGGCAATAGGTCATCAGTCTACATTAGCTCCTTTTCTGAGGAAACATCTCATAGTAGAAAGGTTTTGAAGACTTCTTCAATAGTCTTTTCAATAGTCTCAGTGCAGATCAGAACAGGAAATGCATGTGTAAGTTCCAGAAGAAGCAAGCTAGGAATGCCTGGGTTGCAGGCAACCCTGGGTTGAGGGGTGGGGATGAGGGGAAAAGTTGGTAGTGACCCTCACATAAGACTGTTAGAGTGATCTAGATGAAGTGTTTTCTACTTTTTCAAAGGCTAACACTTGATCTTAGGTAGAAGATGCAAGTCCCTGGTATAACCTAAAAGTCTCTCAAAGACTTGACTCTTCCCTTCCACTGCAGCACCATCTTGCACCATTCTGTGCCTCATCTGTAGAGACACAGGTAGTCTGGTCTTCCAGCTCCTTACATTTGCAGGGCAACAGAAGCAGCAGCTCCTTCACACTTGCAGTTCTCCCACGAGATTCTCATCCTCTGTTCCTTGGCCAGGTTGATCCTTCAAGACTCAGCTTCAGTCATTTCTGCCAAAAGGCTTTCCACACGTCTCTTTAAAGTAACTATATGTGCGGTATGGTGTGTGTGATGTGCTGTCTGTGACATGCTGTGCATGTAATATGGCCTAGGGACTTGCTAATGTGTGAATGTGTGTGCTCATGCATGTGTGGGCACCTATGTATGGTGGCCACAGGTAGATATTGAATGTCTTCCCTCTATTGCTGTCCACCTTTTATTATTACTGAATTCAGAGCCCACTACTTTGATTAGGTTGACTGGCCAATTGGCTCCAGGGAGATCTTTTTATCTTCCTCCCTCCTCCCAGTGCATCACCACACCTGGCTTTTTACATGGATGCTGGGAATCTAAACTTACATCATCATGCTTACAGTCTTGCTATAACATATGTTATATATCCTCTTCTGGATATCAATTAAGTTATTATTTGCTGTCTATCTGCTCCTGAAGAGAAGCAATTATATCAATTGTGTTTCCATTGCTGTCATTCTATGGGCATCTTGTACAAAACAGATAGGTGTACTTACAGCTACACTTTGAGTATGAGTCTATTTTATTTCAGAAATTGAAACTGTGTATATTTATGAATTTTTTTTATGTTATACAAGCATTTTTTAAGACATAAAGACAAGAAAATATATAGAAGATGACAAACACAAATCAAGACTGGTCAGTGATATGGCAAAGATCTAAATAACACCAGGGGAATAATAGGGTATACTGGTTTGAATGGCATGTTCCTCATAGCCTCGGGCAATTGAATACTTGATCACCAATTAGTGGCACTGTTTGTGGGGAGGGGACTTAGGATGGGTTGCCTTGTTGGAGGAGGTATGTCATTGAAGTTGGACTTTGGTAGTTTAAAGCCTCTTGACATTTTTTAGTTAGCTCTCTCTGCTTCATGTTGATGGTTCAAAATGTCAGGCCTCAGCTTCGAGCTCTTGCCTCTAAGCCTTCTCTCCATCATCATGGCCTCTCACCCTCTGGAACTCTAAACCTAAATAAACTCTTCCTTCTATGTGTTGCACTAGCCATGGTACTTTGTCACAGCCATAGGAAAGTACCTGATACATAGGGAGACAGAGACTGAAAGTGATGATCAGAGAAAACTTTGGTGGAAGAGAATCTGAAAGTACCTGCTTCAACAAGCAAGACTGACATATTCATGAGTGTTATCACCCATCTGCCGTTTTTCTGACATCCACTTTTGGCTTTCACCTAGCAACCCGAAGTCTTTCTGACTTCAGAAACAGTGCTGCTGTGGTTTAAGTTAGCAGTAGGGCTTTCCTGGAGGCAGTGGTACTGTAGTGACAAACTCTTAGATGGGTGCAAATTCTCAATCCACAGCAGCAATCAATAACTGCTTGGTATCTTCAGAGAAATCTGGATTAGAAGCCACAAGCCAACCCTGCCTAAGAAACAACCTTCCTTAAGTTCATATACAATATATAAAGTGTTTGGGGGAGAAAGTGTGTATGTAGCCTGGGTAATAAGGAGCTGGACCTTTGGGAGAAGAGACGATGGCCACCACACTGAAGCGTCACACATATTGGTGTGCCCTAACTCAAATATTAGGAAACACTGGTGACAAAAGTTTCACTTAAGGACTTGGCATTTGTGAGCAGACACAAAGTAGCATGCCCAATTACCCAGAGCCAAGTAGAATTATGCCAGGGTGCTTGCCCCAGCAGCCAAGTCTTCACATGGTTTTCTTTCTCCAAGATGCAGGTCGGTGAGCCATCTCCAACTGCCAGATTTCATGGGTACACAGTTACACTTGATGTGATAGGAAAACAACACCTTCATGTGGAATGTAAGATTTCAGCCACAAATGTTCACTTTTAACTTCACAATAAAAAAAAAAAAAACCACTAAACTTTGGCTAGTGACAAGCATTAAGTGAAAATAGAGTAAAATTTGGTTTCCTGGCTTTGCATAAATTATGTCTACATTAAAGTGGAAGGCAGACTTCTGTTAAGGAAGGTATGTCTGGTGAACCATGATGCTTACACAAAATTTTCTGATTCTGAATCCAAGAAATGTGGCTTTGCTTTGGGGACTGTCCTTTCTCATGCCAGAGCTTTGCGGTACTATCTTAATGCCTTTCAGCAACCTTCAACACAAAGTAAATTTTTGTTCCCAAGCATTTAAAAAGTATCAGTCTCTCAGCTGAAAGCGCCATGATTCAAACCTGGTTTCGGACATCTAGGAGCGTATCTGAACCATATGGCCTCTTAGGCACAGCACCGTGCAATCTCCATTTACTTTGGGTTATGTGATAACGACTCAGCACCGAATTGTTTTAATCTCACATTTTTATGACCTCTCTATTTAAAGTCAATATTTTAACTGGCATGTATCAAGATCCACACAGGTCTTGGATTAGAAATTTTGTTTAAACTGAGAAAAGGGCACATAGTACTTCAACTAACTTTGATAAGAGCAAAATTGCCCAATTAGCTATGGGAAAGAAATCTGTTATAAAGTTTTTAGAAATAATGAAGCACTCAATACAAGATCTGTAGTCGCCAGTTCGCAAGAAGGTTTAACTGTCACGTGATTGTACTCTGTTTAAGAGCCAAAGCAAGCAAGAAATCAAACAAACCAGCAAACAAGGTCAGACAGATGGTTTAGCGGGGAAGAGTACTTGCTGCTCTTGCAGAGGACCTAGGTTTAGTTCCTAACACTCACATGATGGTTCATAACCATCCTAACTCTAGTTTCAGGGCATTCTGGCCTCCAAAGTCACCAGGCATGAATGTGGTGTATATGTATAATGCAGTCAAACACTCATACACATAAAATAAAATAAATAAATTTAAAAGAACAAGCAAACACCTTTACAACCATCACTAAAAGACATCCCATATAAATTACATTTTAAGTATTTAAAAATCTCAGTCTAGTGGGCACATCCGTCCATTTAATTACCAACAACTTTCTTAACACAGTTAAAAAAACTGTAAATGTTTGCACACTCCCTTAACCCTGTTGCTTAATTCAAGACAGATGAGAAGGAAAAAGAGACTTTGAGGAAAATAAACTGTACCAAGTAGGTTGGAAAATATCCTGTGGTATTGCTGTTCATTAGAATTTTTTGGTGATACTGGATGTATGCATATACATGCCCTGGTTAATAGTTAACATGACTGGAGACCCGTGGATTTTATTTCAATTATTTTAAAATTCAACAGTCACAAGTAGCCCATCCTATCCTTGAGAAATGAGGAAGCAAACCATTATACAGAATTAAATATAGCAACTATTTTATGACCACCAGAAGTCTTAATTTATTTCCATTTTAAAATTATCTTCCAAAGCCTTATCAAATCTGTCATGAAAAGGAATTCTAACTGCAAAGAATGAAAGAACAGCCAACAAGGGGAAGATATGGAAAGGATACCATAGTTCTAAGGATTGCCCTGTTAATACCTATCCCAGAAAGGTATTAGAGACATTGGAAGGGATTGAACTTTAGCCAAGGTGGTTCAGCCTGACCCAGACTTTCTGTAGCATCAAGAGAACCAAGCAGAGACGAAAAAAAATAGCTAGACATTGCCAACCACCTCTCAAAATGACTGAGCATATTTTAAACCATTGTTGTGGCTTAGTTAATAACCTGGTATGTAGACCAGGCTTTCTTTGAACTCACAGAGATCTGGCTGCCTCTGCTTCCCAAGTGATGCCATTAAAGGCATGCACCACTATATCTGGCTACTATTGGAAATATTATAATGAGATTGAGTCCCTTGAAAGAGAGATCATCTGTCTGTCTGCCTATCTTTCAGTCTGTCTGTCTGCCTATCTCTCCATCTAACTATTTATTATCTATCTAAATAATTTATTTCTCAGTTTTTGTATATCAATATTTTGGTTACCAGCTTATAACTTATGTATGGTCCTAAATATTTTTATTCATTTAAGCTTTACACATACCTCTGTGGTAGGCAGAGAATGAATTACTCTCATTTTATTAAAAAGGAAGGCTTGGCCTTAATCAGATGGCTGAAGGTGCCCAGAACATCAATATGCTGACTTATTCTGTCTCTCTTTCTTCAGAGAACAAAGTACTTATGAGCTATAAAACACATTTTATAATCAGGATGCAATAGGAATGTCAGGCATTTTTACCCACCAAGCTTTAGAGTAGTCTTTGTATTTCAGGTTTTTCATGTTAGGATTCTAGATTTACTTATTTATTTACTTAGGTTTTTGGAGATAGGATCTCTCTGTGTAGTCCTAGTTGTCCTGGAACTTTCTATGCTAGCCTTTTCTCTTTTTCTGCCAAAACATATACTTGTTTTTAAGACAATCCCAGGATAAGAGAAAATGAGCTTGTATCATCCTCCAGAAAAATAGGAGGACATGCAAGAAGAGGTTGACCAGGACACAATGCTGCAATGCCAGAAGTAGGTCCTGGTCTAGACTAAATTAATTTTGTCTAAATTTGCTCCCAATTAAGAATGCATTCATCAAATTATCCAAAAGACTTAGTTACAATACATAAATCAACATTCCATCACAGAGGCAAGCTATTATTTAATAAGTATAAATAATTGCGAGCCAGTTTGGGGAGGAGTTTTGATCAACATTGGATTTATAAGTCCCCCGTGCAGCCCACCCACTAAGAAGTGTTGCATAATCTCCACAGAAGGGAGCTAAAATTAGCAGTTTCTCTACAACGGTTAGGCAACACATGAAAATAACTTGAGTAGGTAATCTGTGGATTCCTTCCTTTCAACTACTGGCACACCACTGCTCCCCTATCAGCTTGAAACTGGCTGGCATGGTGACCAATAGACAGAGTAAGTCACATGCGCCTGGCAGCTTTAACTCTTCCTCTTGGAAGATAGTCACCAGGTAAGAAGAGAAGCCGCCAGAAGTGACATACAACAGACTATCTGTGTGAAGAGAGAAAAGATAACAGCAAAGCACGATTAAACCAGCTGTCAACAGTGACATGTTTACACCTTCCTAGCACATTCAAGCTCTTCCTTGTAGCTGTGTGTTTGTTTGCTTGCTTTGTGACAAGCGATTGCCATGTTGACCAGGCTGGCAGTGAACACCTGGATGCCAGCAATTCTCCTGCTCCAATATCCCAGGTAGCTGGACCTACAGCAGTGTACCACAATCACATGAGCCTTGAACGGCCAGCTGAATATAGCTGAGTAAATTGGCTGAATGTGGTCCACTGACATACCCCGGCGCACTGCATTCAAAACAACCAGATGCTGTCTAAATTTCTGGCCATCAGAAATAATAAATTACAACGGTCCCAAGCCACAAAGCTTTGGGTTGATGTGTTGCCCCCCATCTTTCTAAACTTCACTGCCCAACTTGCTATGAACGTTTTATTCTGAATGAAAGGAGCAACTAGGAAGATCGAGTGGTCCAGTGTCATTCAAGTTTACATGGTGCTGAACACGTCTCTGAGTGTCACAGCCATGCAAAGCTTGCCCTCCAGGATTCTTGCTACATTGCTCTTGTTCTTATTGTCACCAGCAACTAAAATAAATAAGATGGGAGCTAATGGGGGTAATGGATTCCTGGAAAAGCAGAGTGCATTCTTTCCACCACTTAGAAAGGATGTATTCAGCAAAAGAATCCTGATGGAGACTGGGATTTGAAGGGGGGGCGGTGGCTAGATAAACCTAGCAGCCAGGCTTCCCATCCCTGGAGCCCATCCCAGAACTCACCCTTGCCCAGCCCACATGCTACCTGCTGCCTTTTCTTTTCATGCCATAGATATTAATTCAGCAGTAGGAGGATTTTCAACTATTGTAAGCCTTGGTAGATCAGTGCTACATTTACACGTCCATCTTGTTTGCCATGGAGGAGATGGCTTTGCTCCCCTACCATGAAATTATGCTGGAAACAAATATTGAAACAGACAAAATTCTATGCATGAATATTATTTCTAAAAGGAATATTATTTCTAAAAATGTGAATCTTCTTTTACATGGAGGTATTCTCTAAGCTGAAACTCTCATTTAAGTTCTCAGTCTGTTTAGATGGGACCCCTAAAGAGTGAGGCTAAAGCAACAGAGTACATCTACATAAAAGAAAGAGTGGAAAATTGGCAGTTGGTGCCCTAAAGGCTACCACCCAGAGCTTCACTGTGACACCCTGCTTCTCTCATTCCCCATGCTGCCTTCTTTGTTTTTTAAATAGCTTGCAGCTCCAACTGAGTCCCTCTAATGGTTCCTTACAGGCTGTACTCACTGTCCTGCGGCCTCTCCCAGTTTAACACAATTAGCAAGACTAGTATCTAATCCATAAGAAACTGAAGTATAATCCATAAAGCAAAGGCAGCCTGACGCCTCACTCAATTCGAAAATTGCCAGTTCTGTCAAAAATGCCAACATTCCAATCCAGTATTCACCACACACAATCTCTGGCTCTTCATCTTCCATCAGTAACTATGCAGGGGTAACAGAGGTTGAAATGTGACCAATTTTGTAGCCAACAAACTGACCATCAGAAATGTCTATAGCAATACAAACACAGACAGCGTGCAGATGAGGCTTCAGTCAGCTCTGCAAGGGCTTGATGGGCATCGCTCAGATGTGTAACACAGGAAATTTCCACATTGTGAAGGCTGCAGGTATACAGAAAATGGTCTATAGCACAGGCAACACCAACAGCTGCTGCTATAAAAACAATCGGAATGGGGGTGGGAGCTGAAGAGATGGCTCAGTGGTTAAGAATATTGGCTGTTCTTCCAGAGGATGTGAGTTCAATTCCCAGCACCCACATGGCAGCTCACAACTGTCTGTGACTCCAGTTCCAAGGGATCCAACACCCTTACACAGAGTACATGCAGGCAAAACACCAGTCAATGCTCATAAAACAAACAATCAGAGACCAAACCAGTGCAGGCCCCATGGGATACAGTGAAGCTATGTTATATACTTCCTTATTTAAGGGAATTAGACATAGGAGGGAAATACAAGAGTCTCACAGTGACTGTTCTACTATTATTCCTGTGATCTGAGGTGTACACTCGCTGAGTTCTGAGAGAATCTGGACAAGAAACAGGAAACACCTCAGGGCCCGGCTGCTTCACCAAGGGAGGAAGCCACTTTGAAGCTGACACACTCTCTCTGCTTTCTGTCTTGTCCCTTTCAGTTTTCAGCAGCATTGAAAGAATTCAGAAGTCAAGAGTACTCTGTGCTCCTCGTAAGAGACCCTGGGGGAAATAGAGTTAGAGAAATCCATTGTTCATGCAGACGAAAGACAATCTATGAAGGATCAATGCTTTCCCATAACTGGGAACATAAAGGACTCTTCTCTTAGGAAGCCTTCTTCTCGAGGTTTCACCTCCTGAAAGAAGACAGATCCAACATCCCCAGCCTCATACAAGAGGAACGATGTTAACAGCTAAACTAATCAAGATCCCTGACTTCAGGAGGCTCTTACCTCAGCTCTACCATCAATCATGTGATCTAACTGATCTTCCGGATGTCAACTCCCAAGCAAGGGAATGAGAAGTCTCTCAGGAAGGATCTCTGTATACTACCTTCTTCTCCAGGTGAAGCATGAAAGGTGCCATCTTTATTGCTGGTAACCCCTCTCCCCTTTCCCCAAAATCTATTCATCTAAAATGACCTCTCAGTGATGTCCTGGATCTCTTGGTACTGAAGCCATATTGTTCATTTCCTTATAGATTGTTGATTCTAGGTTCCCCTTGCTAAGAATCTTTTGAGTTCTCCTAATACCACAGGCAGCCATTTACTTCTTCTATGAAGTCATATGTAGAACACATCCTCATATTCCCTAGCTTTCCCTCTGTATTCTTCAGTCTGCAATTGTTTCAGTGGAGGAAGAGGGATTCTGTTAAGATTTTTAAAAACACTGACATATAATTAACACAGAAAAAGACACAGATGAAGTGTTCAGTTGCCATTGCCATGCCAACACCAAAGCACAGGGCATTTTAATCTATAAGATGCTCCTTCATTTTCATTTCTTGTCAACTCCTTCTCCAACCTTTATGTGACATCTATCACCAGAGATAAGTTTGCCTATTTCTGGTTTCATGTAAGTAACATTACATATTGAGGATTTATTTTTTTGTAACTGACTTCTTTTACTCCAGATATCTTCCTGATCCATCAATGTTGCTTCAGTATTCCTTTTTTTGTTTATTTGTTTTTCAAGACAGGGTTTCTCTGTGTAGCTTTTGAGCATATCCTGGCACTCACTCTGTAGACCAGGTTGGCCTCAAACTCACAGAGATCCACCTGCCTCTGCCTCCCGAGTCCTGGGATTAATGGCGTGTGCCACCAACGCAGCCTAGCTCAGTATTCCTTTTTACTGTTACATAGTATTCCATTCCCCAGTTAACAAATATTCAAACATGATCATTCTTGGTCATGGCTTTCAAAGTAGGTGACACAAACATTTCAATACAAATGTAAGTTTATTTTATAAATGTATATTATAATTTCAGTCATTCATTAAAAAGCCCTTGAACACTCCCATAATGATTAGGCCAATTTACACTCCCACAGTGATTGAATGATGACAACTCCAGGTGCCAAATGCTATTGGGCACTGTGGTTTTGTTTGTTTGCTAGCTCACCGGCCACTTACATGTTTTCTTTTGGTCAGTTATTGTTCAGATCTTTGACTTGATTTTTGTTTATTTGTATGCAACTTGAATTCCTTCTAAGTATGTCTTGATTGTGCTGGGATTCCAAGCATGTGCCACCCCACAAAGCAATTCTCTTTCTTAAGCTATCTGTCCGCAGTGTAGGGACTAATGGCATCCAGTATCCACACATCTCCGCTTACAAGTAAGGAGCACACGTCCACACGCACTGACTTTATTTTCTATTGCTGTCAATGTTCTAGTAGAACCAACCGCCCTAATGCTGAGAAGTATCATAAGGAGAGGTCTTTAAACTGTGTGCTACAGCAGCCAGAGACTCGGCTGTACAGAAATACTCTGCTTTGATTTTATTTTTAAAGCAAGAGCTCAGATATAAAAAGACTTCTGGTCTTCTAAATTTAGTAAAAGTTTTATAATTTGACTCACAAGTATTTAGAATGAAATGTTTATAAGTGTAAAATAGCCATGATTGGCTCATGTACCAAAATGAACTAGAGAGGCAGCCGATTCAGAAGGCAGGAAGGACAGCTGCTGGCAAGGATGAGTGCTGGCAGACCTCGTGGGCAGTCCTTCCTTCATCTTCTAGCATAAAAGAAAAAAAAAAGAAAGAAAAGAAAAGAAAATCCTGCCTGCAAAATAGATGTGACCTTGATTTAGGCTGAAAAAGAACACAGCTACTCCTCCAGCCTTGGAGGATTCCAGAAGGGCTGGAGACTCACTGACAGTGTGTGGTGCAAATCAGGAAATGAGAATTCACTGTTGGAGAATCAGTTAAGTATGCTTCCTTTACCTTTTCAATCCAGCTCAGAGTCTATTCTGTATCCAGTTCAACAAGAGAAACTGAACACTGGCTGATGAACTAGGCCGCTGCTGCCTACATACAGAATTTCTAATGCACTGTCAACTGCTTCCTAGTGTGCTTTGCAAGATACTAACTAAATGGAGGCATCCTTAACCCCATCCTTCCTACCAGAGACCGAACATGACTGGATTTCTGGGGTATTTGGAAATCTATTGTAACCTTGTTACTTGTTCACTAACATGCATTCTGTTTGATCATACAATTATGAAAGTGTGTGTGAAAATGTGTGTGTGTGTGTGTGTGTGTGTGTGTGTGTGTGTGTGTGTGTGTAAGATATAAATGGAAAAACAGGGAAAGTAGGGATTTTTTTTTTCTACTAGGAAAGTTGTGTCCTGATTATTTTTGTAGGATGTGCACAGTGTGATCCTAAATTCTTTCGGACAAAGGAAGTCTTGAAACTGCCTGGAGAGCAACCATTTTCCAGGGTCACAGGCTGAATAGATCAGCACTGGTAGGAAAAAAATTCTTTGTAAGAATGTTATACACTTGCTTCATTTATACTTACACATCCATCTATCAGGGTTCAGGGGAAATTTTCAAAGACATGTGAATTTGATATGGAAACCAAGCACTTAGAGATCATCATCACACACACACACACACACACACACACACACACACACACACACACACACACACACACACAAAATCTCAGCTCCAATGCTTCACTGCCCCGAGCCAGATATTTAGTAACCCCAACATTTACTGTGTAATTAATAAATACCTTATACCAGTCTGGATTTCACTGCATGACTTAATGTATTCAATATAAAAAGGCTACAAACAGTATCTTTGCTTTCAGTGTGTAGAAAACTGAGAAACACAGAGAGCAAATGACTTGTCCCAAGTTACTTCCAACTCAGGCAGTCTGACTCCAGAGTACTAACTTTCATGCTATGCACTCAATGGTCTCTCCCGGCATTCACAATCTAAAGCCCTTATCGCCACTGTGGCCGTGTTTAGAAATCAGCCTGTAAAGATGCCACGAGGTCAGATGAGGTCATAAAACTTGTATCTTAATCCTGAAGGATCAGGAGACTTTTAGGAGGTAGAGGGGAGAGAAGAACCCCTTGTCTCTTTCTCTCTCCCTACAGACACACAGCTAGCAGGAACCATCAGCTCTCAACAGCCCCCGCTGTCACCCCGATCTTGAACTTTTAGTTTCAGAACTTGGGGAAAATAAATTTCTGTTGCTTAAGCAACACAATCTATAACAGATTAAGCCAATACACAATGTGGAGACCACTATTCCCAGTACCCCCCAAATCAGAAAGAACATAAACAGCATCTTTGTTTCACCCACACTTCCTTCTTATTTTAGAAAACTTTCCCATTGTACCCTTAGATGCGACCAAGAAACTGGAATCTTATTGGATTTTAGCATTATAAATATTCATAGATATTTTCAATATTCATCCCAATACATGTAGGTTAAGGCGTGTTTATACTGCATTGATCTTTGCAAAAGAAACATAAAAGCTTCTGATCAATATGAATGTAAAAGTTTCTGACCATATTTTTAGCATAACTAGATTTTCAAGCAATGACTATGAGGCTAAAATGGAATAAGAATGAAGACCTAAAATGGTGGTTCTTTGAGTGATCCCATTTATTAAAAATAATCACAAAGCATAGTAGTGATGCCAAGTATCCAGCATTCAGAGCTTGTGAAACGAATTATCAGTGTCTAAAAGGTCTTTGTCAACTCTAACATCTGTAAACATTTAAGTGGTATTGAGCAGATTCCATAATCGGATCTGCTTTTAACTGTGGAAATCAATGTAGTTATTAAGAAGCTATTTGAATAATTCATGTTGCAAGAGGAGGCCTTCAGAGTAGCTGTAATGTGGTTGCCTCTTAATGGTATTTTAAATAAAGTTGTGTCTTGCTACAATGCACATTTAGTAAGCAAGAACGATTCCCCATCCATCAGTTCAGAGGTGTTGATGTGAAATTCTGACAGTTGCAGAGGAGTGGCTGAGCTATCTGGCTTTGATAAAGAAGGGAGTTAAAGGAGAGATTACTCCCCCAGATCTCAGAGGAAGATACTATCTGCCTTTCACTCACCCACTGCCTGGCTCCTGAGATCTGACACTCCCTGAGATGCTCATCAGTGGTACCATTGCAAGGTCATTCAGCCAAGTTAACCAGACTAAATGCACATTCATCACTTCCAGTTAAAACGAATAAAGAACCAAGTGGTTGAACATTTGGGCAAATATAATATTCCTTTTTTCTTATTGGGGAGGGGGCTATTTTTCAACCTTATATGAAACATTTTTCTTCTCACTAAAATCAACAGTAACATCAACCTTCAAAAAGCTTTAAGCTTTGGAACAGTATCATAGAATGTGAGACTTATAAGCAACAGTCCTCTAAGTTATCCCAATTCCTTATCTTATCCATTGCTTGAAATACCTCCTTGGCTGCAAAAGCAGTCCATCTGAATTCTTCCTCTTTTTATTTTTCTTTTTTTTCATCCATTTATTTAGTTCATAAATAAAGTCATGCACAATTATGATACAGAATACAGTATGTTCACAATGGCATGGCTAAATTAAACCAATTAACTACTCTTAATAGGGCTCATGGCTACCTTCTCCTAGATTGCCCAAATGCTCTTTGGGCAATTAGCACCTTGGGCTGAGTTCAATTCTGTTAGCCCACCTTTGAACAAGTTTGTTGACCTTTGGGGACACTCAATCAAGCAGAGCCCTTGCTGTCTTTCCAGTGGTTGGTTGAAGGCAATGATCATAGCTTTTATGAGTTTTCCTGTATTCAGCTAATCCCAGCATTCAGGGAAGCAGAGACAGGCAGATCTTTGAGTTTCAGGCCAGCCTGGTCTACAGAGTGAGTTCCAGGTCAGCCAGGTTTACACAGAGAAACACTGTCTCCAAACAAACAACCGAAACATAAAAAAACAAAAATAAAAACTTTTCTATCAGTTAAATTGTTTCTAATATAAAATGAATTACCAGAGTGCAGTCAGTTACTTAAAATCACCCTTCTACCCTCCACTCCCAGGTCTCACCATTCTCCCCTGGAGCTCGAATCACAAAACCTTCCACG